CCCCATGTCAGGTCTCTGCTGTCAGTGTGGAGCCTGCTTCAGATCCTCTGTCCTCTCTGCCCCTCTCCTGCCTGTGCTCTCTCTCTCTCTCAAAAATAACAAACATCAAAAAAAATAAAAATAAAAATAAAAAGAGCATGGACTCTGGAGTCATGCAGACATGGGTTCAATTTATTAGACACATGACTTTTGTTTCTTGACCTTGGAAGTTTTTTGACTTAGGTTTTTGTTTTCTCTTATAAAAGATCCATAGGATTTTATAAAAACTTTAGAATCTATAAAATAGCAATAACAATAGTACCTACCTTGAAGGTGTGTTATAAAAATTGAATGAGAATTTGCCAAGTGTGAGCACCTTGTCTGATAACAAAAAATTCTCGGGGCCCCTGGGTGGCTCAGTCGGTTGGGTGTCCGACTTTGGCTCAGGTCATGATCTCACAGTTTGTGGGTTTGAGCCCCCGTGTCTGTGCTGACAGCTCGGAACCTGGAGCTGCTTTGAATTCTCTGTATCTCCTTCTCTCTCTCTCTGCCCCTCCCCTGCTCACACCCTGTCTCTCTCTCTCTCTCAAAAATAAATAAACATTAAAAAAATTCTCCATAAAAAGTTTGCTTTTGCATGAGTGTATGTAATCCTTTCTATTCACAAATTACTTTTCCTAATGCTTTTTATTCACAGATTACTTTTTGTCGCTAACTACCTAATGACCCAAGTGTGAAGTCGTTCCATTGTTTTTGTTTTGAAACATTCTCTAAATGGTTGGTTTCCTTAAAAATAATATTGCTATCTTAATTTTTGTAGTATTTTATTCTTTGTATAGACAGTTTATTTCAATGACATCAGAACACTGACTTTGATAGAAAGGCTATATATTTTCCTGATTCTTATATAATTATATTTTTCTGAAATGCTAACAACAATGGTGGTTAGTAAGACTGAAAAGGAGTTCCATTTTGGTTAGCCCCGTAGTTAGGAATTGTGCATATAAAGGTGGCCACAGATTTGCAACAATGTGGATGGAACAAGAGTGTATTATGCTAAGTGAAATAAGTCAGTCAGAGAAAGACAAATGTCATATAATTTCACTCATGTGGAATTTAAGAAATAAATGAACATGGGGAAGGGAAAGAAAAAGAAAATAAGATAAAAACAGAGAGGGAGGCAAACCATAAGAGACTTTAAATATAGAGAACAAATTGAGGGTTGCTGGAGTGGAGGTGGGTGGGGGGATTGGCTAAATGGATGATGGGTATTAAGGAAGGCACTTGTGGGGATGAGCACTGGGTATTGCATGTAAGTGGTGAATCACCGAATTCTACTCCTGAAGCCAATACTATATGTTAACTAACAACACTATATGTTAACTAACTTGAATTTAAATTAAAAAAAAGTAGAAATGAAAGATAAAACCATGATCACTTAATAAAGTAGTTTAGTAATCAAAAAAAAAAAAAAAAGGTGGCCACAGGATTATGCTGGACAGTAAAAGTACAATTATTTTTACAAAGTAAAAATACTGGATTAATCTTTACCAGATATCTAATAATCATTATATTTTTTATATGGAAAGAACTCCAATGTGCATTGTTTAGTGAAAACAGTAGAATGCACGACAATGTGTAAAATATTTCAATATGTGTTTGAAAAAAATACAGACAGAAAATTAGATAGATGAGATAGAGATACTTATAGATATATATATGTATATTTGTATAGGCATAGAAAATTTCTGGGAGGATTTATAAGAAACTGACAGTAATGATTGTCTTGGAGAGAAAAACTGAAGATCTATATTAGATAAGAGACATTTCAAGATATACTTTTCAGTACTTCTTAAATATTTTATTAGTGTATATTTTACTTTTTGAGTAAAAATCAGTGAATACAAAAATTGCCATCATCATTATCAACGATGATTTGTTCAGTTTCTACCCATTGTAGAAGGCAGCATGCTAGACTTTATATGCATGTAATCTAGTATTCACAAACATCCTACAGTATCAGTTGAAGTTATGTAGCTTATATAATATTGCAGAGAAAGTAAAGGATGGAGCCATTTTTTCCTGCTTTTAACTAGGGTTTTTGGAAATCTATAATTCATAGCCATCTGTATAGGCATTTAGCTCTTTACTACAGAGAAAATAAAAGGATTTTTTCAACTATGATCTCAAATCATTGGGATTACAAATTTTGTCAATATGTATCATTCCTAGAGTTTCAGTAAAGGTAGAGACTTAAAATAACGTCTTTCAAACCTATTTTTTTATTTCAACTATTAGGACAACCTTGACATATAATTTTTTTTTCTGACTTGGAAGTTACAGCCAGGATTCTGCAAAAAACCCAACTGGTTTCTGTCTAAATATGTTGTCACTTAATGTAAATATACAATTCTTTTATGGCTTTTTAAAGCATTATACTTGGGTACAAAAAAAATATATCACCAAACTTGTACTATGTCAATTGCTTTCCACTTTTAAATTGTTTGAGTAAACATTATCATTTATAATTTTTTGCATACAAAATTGGTGATGTGTCTGAGTATTATTATGTAATATTTGTTCTATTGATCATGTCTAGTTGTGATTTTGGGAACTACCATAAAAATGTCAAGGGCCACAAGGAGGTAACAGCATAGCTCATTACACTATAGGTCTTCATCTTTCATGAGAGGGAGGGTAAGCAGGAGGAAAAAGAATCAAATTCACTAACAAAGAAGAAAGGGATGAATTGATGAAGTCTCAGATTGTTCATGTCTGGTATCAAAGGATAGCACAGAGGTAGATCATATGGAGAGGTGGACTGGGCCCTACAAGTTTAGAGACACTAGTATATAGATTCATGGTTGCATTAGAATTCTGCTCCCAATTTGGCTATGTGGATACTTCTGTGGGATTTAATGATGAAGTGTCTTGATAACTGAGGGTCAAATTCATAAAAAGAGTAACTTATTACTATACTCATTCAGAATGATTATTCAGGGCATTGAGCCTGAACCTAATTTTTAAACTATTTAATTTGCTATTTCTTTGTATCTGAGAAAAAAGAGCTTTACGTCAAAGTTAAGTCTTTGTGTCATTTTCAAAAATAGGATATCCCAAACAGCTATGAAAACTGTCAAATGCAGCTATTGCATTTCGACTACGGTTGTTCAGATTGGCTTTTGAACAACCAACCATTCCCGGAGAGTTTTTCTCCCCTTATGTAAAGATTTACATAAGCTGTGGCTTTAGGAATTGTAAATAAGCTATGTTTCTCTCTCTAGAACATTAGTCCAAAGAACAATGTGAGTTTACTCCATTTCCTTATTAATGGAAATAGACTTTTATTTTGTTTTCTTGCAAACTGGGGGACAAATATGAGAATATTTAAATTTTGATGATGCTAATTTTACAAAGGATGAGCTTTAAGACTTATCATGTGGAATGAGCTGGAGTATGGTGGGAGAGAATTTCAGATCTTTTTAAAGAGAACTTTGGCTCATTTTACTTCTTCAGAATAAATTGAAATCCCTTTATAATGCCCTAAGTTTCTTTTTCTGTGCTTTTTGAAAACTCCCTGTGCCCTCTTCTCACAACCAACTTTACCCTCTTTTCCTTCTCCCCGTTCTCTCTTCTTTCCACTTTCCCACACAAAGCAAAGTGATACCTGGGTCTGATCTCAGGAGCTTCAAATCAACCCCCTTCTCAAAATTTTAATGGGGGCCGCCATTTTTTTCTGACATTGTCACATTGCTAACTTCTTTTGATCAAAGCACCGAATATCCTAGATAAAGTCTAAATCTTCTATCTGTAAAGAAACCAGCCATTCAGCAGACTGTTGCAAATATAGTACATGGGACAAGTAAAGCCTGGTGAGGAGAAAGGATAAGGGTACAGCATTCAGAGCATGGGCTCCGCTCAGGAAGTCACTCAGCCTCTGGTGGTAGGATGCAGAGTCAGGGACCCCGAGCAGCCAAGGAGAATACATTTTAGAGATGGGTTTCCTTGTGGAAAGAAGAATGAACAGAAACTAAAGGGAAAACTTCACCCTTATTAGCATCTTCCGTGAGAGCAATATTCCTAGACTCCCTAGTGTGGGTAACCATTTGATAAAATCAATGTTGAATGAATGGATATGAAAGGAATTGTTCCAATCAATTTTTTCTTTTACCTCAAAACCTGGGCAAAAGTAAACTACATTTGGATATGTGACAGCTAATTATTCTTTTTAGCAAGTAATTACATCCATAAAGAATGATATTCATTCCAAAATGTGTTCCAGAAGAGCAGGAAGATAAAGTGCATCAATATATTTTAGAGCAAGTTATAGAAGAAGAAATCTATGAAGTTTATCAATGATTTGCTACATGATTAGAAAAAATGCTACCTCCTGCTTCTAGCAGATTTGGGAACCCATTATTGATTTTCATTAAATAATGAAAAGCTTAGCCATTTCTGTACTTAAATTTAATTCAGTTACTTTTATATGCTTAAGAGCATTCAGGAGCCTCAGGCAAAGTTTTGAAGAGGAAGGGATAAAATGCTGAATCTTATAAATCTTGGGTTTCTCTTTAAAGAATATAAAATACCCATGTGCTCTAAAGGCTGACACCACAGTATTAACTACAGTAAGCTCCAGTGATGATTTTTCGTTTTTTTGGTTTTTTTTCCCCTCTTACAACTGCTGCAGAGGCATTCATACTAAGGTGAAATTAGCTTAGTATCTGGTTTGGAATGTTTAACCAAGAGTGCACTGAGTACACTATAAGTTTAAAGAAAATATAATGCACTGCCTCACTTTCAGAGCTAATTCTTTAGTTCTCGGTGCTCAGTAAATATTTGTGAAACACTCCGTGTATTGTCTAGTTATTGGGAACGAGGGACAGCTGTGTAAGGAAGGAGGGTGGTTTGGAATAGACTTCCCCACAAGACACTCCAACATTCATAGCATGATTAAAGAGCAGGAGATCACCTGAAGGAATAAAGGGAGGGAGGATACTTGCCTGTGCCCTGAAGCTTACCTTTGCAAGTTGCTCGTGAATCTCTAGCAGGCTGGGTCGGTTGACCTTGGGCCCGCTGATGCTACCAGTATTGCGATAGTACTCAATCTTGGGAACAGCATCCACGGTGTTGTGGCCAAAGGTTTGTAGGTAGTATGTGTTTGTGTGAGAATCATAAGCATGAAAACTGGCATCTGTTTTAGCGGTTTCTCCATTTTGGAGGAAATTGTCATAGCACTCCTGATTTCCAGGCCTAAAGCTGATTCTGAATCTGTTCTGGGTTTCATCTCCAAAAGAGGTTTCCTCATAATGTGGAGGATCGGTGTTATTATCCACAGCCGCGCTGCTCTCGTGGCTCTCATTTATGACATTAACTTGAAAGCGATTGCTATTACTGGGCGTTGAATCCAGAAATACATTGGAAGAGTTGTTCAGTGACATCTTCCAAAATGGATTTTTTTTGGGGGGACTAAGCTGTCTACTTTATGGTTTTTAAAAAAAAAATCTATGTATTTCCTCCTCAAAATAAACTTTAATGTGTTTACATTAGGGAGCTCCTGGCCTTTGTTCTAGAAGGACTCAACAAATAGATTCTTGATGTATTGTTTCTCTCCTCTACATCCTTTGAATGTTCTTCAAAGCTGCCATTGAAAAAGAAAATTAAACTTGTTTCAAGTAATATAAATACATTTAAGTAGGCATAGGGGTATGAGGGCAGAGTTTTCTGTTACAAAACATATAATATCTTAAATTCATTCCATTAAAAATTACCTGTCGGGGAACTCTAGTCACCTGAGCAATTAAATCCCATAATAAATAACTAGGGACCTGCTTCAGCGAACAGAATTTTCAATGGAGTCATTAAAATATTATCTATGTTTGTAGCATTTGTTTGGACTCAGTGCAGTTGGATTTAATATGATTTTAGAAAAGATATAACTCTACCAGTGAGTACAGTAAGAGAAGATGAGAATATTCTCAGTCTGAAACACAGTTCATTGACAGTACTAAATGTTGAAACTGCAAAGTATTTTTTATAGACATGAATTCATACTATCTAATAATGATTATATTCCATGATGATTATAAAATTTAAAAATATTTTTTAACTTCTAAAAAATACATGCTTGTTAATTTTTAAAAATAAATCCTGTGAAGATGATAGCTTTGTAAATTCATGGATCTTTTACTAGCCTCTCATCTGCTCATACATTTATGTTTTGCAAATACTATCATGGAATCTTTAAAAATATATAGGTATTCAGTGTAACGAAATAAATCTCAGTCCTTAATAAAGGTGTACGCTATATTTAGGTAAGATAATCATGCCCTGTTAATTCTCTTTAATGAAATAGTCTCAAATTCATTGAGAAGCTTTTAATTTGACTGAGAGGCAGACTACATAATCACTTCTTTTACCATCCATGATATGAGCCATCTTAGTACATTCTTTAATGAGATTAATAGTTCTTTATTGATAACTTAAATTTTGGCTTTTTAGAAAAGCAGACAAATGCAAACAAAACCGTGCCTGTCTCCTGAAGTTACTAGGCTATTTCTTTGAATTAAAAAAAATATCTTAACTTCAACTTGCAAAGAACATTTTTTGGGGCGAAACTATAAGTGAGGCTGTTATCTCTTTAGTTTTTATAGACCATCCCATGTCTCTTCATAGTCCTTGACATCCTCACCTTTACTCCATTCCTCAGGATCTACTTTATGACATAATATTAAGTGTGATTTTTACCCCATCCAGAAATGTTTAACTTACCATCAGAAGAAGCCTTCTTCTCAGGAAGCTTTATCTGTTTCAACACCACCCAGGCATATATGGGGCACCTAACTTTCACTCCAAAACCTTGGGCTTCTTATTGGTTAGAACCTTCCTTGAAAGAGGTGACTGAGCAGTGATTGGCCTGGAATAATACTGTGGGCCCTGCCCAGTCATTAGCCCTGAGGAACCTTAAGTACTTCATCAACTAGTAACCAGTAGTAAATCATTAATTCATTTAGACAGAAAGTCACATTAAGTTTCTTTAATTCATAAGGGAAGTTGGATTGCTCAACAGTAATAATCCACCAAAATATAATCAGTGCTTCAGCTGTTTGGGGCTAAATAAATTCAACCCCATTGTCTTCACGATTCCTGGTGGCCTCCTATTATTTAACATGTACAGCAAAATCTAGGCCTCCAGAGATAATTTCTATACTTGGTAACTAGAAAATGGTATTTGAGATTATTTTCTTTTTTATAGTAGATACTAGCTGAATTCTTCTCTGCATGGGAAGTGAGCGGATTGAATGTAGAATTGGTGATTTATTGAAAATATTTCTACCTAGTGGAAAAACTGAAGCAGGAATGAAACCGTGGGTAAGGTTCCCAGTGGCATTGCTAAATGACCTTTTTGTCTCTACCTGGCAAAACATTTATATCAAACCCATTTTTCTAGTGTTGTTGAGAAACAGGTTTTGCTCAAATCTGTGAGGTGGTGATTATTAAGACAGCACAAACAATTCCTCCACACAGGTCCTGTCACTGGTTTTCAATCAGATTGATTGAATGAATCCACCTTGTGTTTTATAAGAAACTACCCAAGTGATTTCCACCTGCCTGAGCAGCACCGTTGTGGCAAAACAGTGGTTAGGAGCAAGACTCTGAAGTCAGTATACTCAATTTGCATCCCAGCTGTGCCACTTCCTAGCTGCGTGAGCTTTGGCGAATTACTCAGTCTTTCTGAGCCTTAACTTTCTCATCTGTAAAATGCTATTGTGGATAATAATGTTATCTACCTTGTTGTAAAGTTAGTGTGAAGATCAAATGAGTTAATTTGTGTATAGGATTTAGATCAGCACTGGTTTGTACTTAGCACTTGCTTTTACTATGTTGGAAATACTTACAATTGACTGCTGACTTTTACTTAGTCATATCCAAGATTCCAAAGTGAATTGTTAGAGATTGGGATAGGTACTATGCCTATTAAAGTAGGAGGAAAGTTAAGTTGGTGAACAGATGCTGGATTGTAGAAAAGGGTCTGGAGATACCTAAGTAAAACTCCTTAGACGCTCTTAGGTAAATGTCATGCTAACCAGCCAGGCTAATGCCAGAGGCTGTTTCAAAAATAGAGACAGAATTACAACTATGTACCACTAACTCATTCTGCTCTTAAGTACAAGGCATTTATCTGTTCGACAAAAGGTTCTAACTCCCCACACAGAAGGCATGGGAATTACGCCTTTCAGATTCAGATTCATTTCAGATTCATCTGGGTGTTGCTATTATTCAGAACAGCTAAGATGGGGCTGGTACTCAAAATAAGTCCTATTCCCTAGTCCTGGTGGGAAGCTTTGAATTCGCTTGCAGTTATCTCTGCCACCTCTAGTCCCCTTTTCCTTCAACCATTCCCTCAGCTCCATCCCTCTTTCAGGAGCCCACCTATTTATTCCTTAACCTTTTCCTCTGCCAAAGACTGTGCATGCATCTGATAGTGGTCAATTTTGCTTTTTCCTTGCTGTCTGCCTGTCTGACTGCAGTGTTGTGTGAATTAGTTTTAGTCTCGGTCTTACATCAACCAGACATTTTTGTTCTAAGCCTTTTATCTTAACCATGAAATGAAAGTCTTTGTTCTCTATTAAGGGGATTCAGATGTTCTGGAGCAGATGGAAGATGGTTTGGGGGATATGGATGAAATTACAACATCCATAAGCCAACTTTGAAAGGTAAACTCAATTTAGGCCTTTCAGACATAGGAGTAAGGTAATAGGAGGAAACTGTCTGGAGGTATGCTCCTCTATTTTTTCTCTTGTCTTCCCTCATGGGGCTCTAGGAAAGGGGAAGCTAGAGGATGATATGACTATGACATTGGACTCTCCTAGAAGACTTAGCATTTCATGAAGTTTCCATGATGTATCCATATTATGGCCATCCTTCATATTTTTTATATTGTTTCTGGCTCTGAAAATACAGACACTGACCACTCTT